CCCCCCCCCCCCCCCCCCCCCCCCTCTGTCCCTGCCATAGCTGCATGCGTGCTTTCTTGCACTTTGTTTCAATGTGCGCGTGTGCCCCCCCCGCCCTCCGCCCCCCCCCACAAAAAAAGACACAACAGTAGGAGCGAACGACCTGCTGCTTGGGATGAGTTTTTGGCTTGTGCTCTGCTAAGAGATGGAGGAGAAAGGGGTGGATGGGAGGTTGGCAATAGCTAGCAAGCAAGAGGGACAGCAACAGCAGCATATCGAGATGTACTGACGGATGCACTATACGGTGGATACGAGCAACAACAGCTGTGAGACGACCTAAGGCGATTGTGGATGCGACAATGACAATCGCCAGCGAAGGGAAACAGACAAGACTAGGAGGGTGCAAAACAACTCGAAACGCGGGAAAATGACGCAGAATAAATTTGCGGCGAGAACGGCAGCATAGTGGCACCGGTGTGTCGACAGGGACGCGTGAGAAGCCAATGGTCCATGGACCAAGTAAAAAAATCACTTTCAACCCCCCCGCCCCCGGCCCCGCCCCACAGCAACCACAAGAATGACGACTAGCTACAGCTCTGGTTCATACTTCGTAAAATGTAGCCCGGGCCAGCAAAAACCCGGCATATCGCTCCGTCCCGCGTCCCCGGCATTGTAGGGATGAGAGGTCAACGGTCTAAACGCCAACGACCATTATGCGACATGCGTTTTTTTTAGTGTCTTCCCCCCCCCTTGTGTTTCCGCCTCCCCTCTCTCTGTCCTCACCGACTGGATGGCGCCTCTCAGCTTCCTCGTAGCATTGAAGATTCTGAGCTGGTCGAGGTTCTTGCCCAAGTTGTGGCTAGCGAGGGACTCTCCCGTGGTGAGCAGCCAGGGGTGCTCCGCCGCCTGGGTGGCCGTCATTCGCTTCGCCGGGTCCACCAGGAGGAGCTTCCGGATTAAGTCCTGTCGTTTGTGGGTGTTGGAGTTTGTAGGGGTGTGTTTTTACTATTAGCATCGACCGCGCTAACCGGCTGACCAATGAAAATACGTCAGTCTTAGTGCGGTTGAAAAACACAAAACACTTCTTCATGCAGTTAACGTGTGTGTGGTTGGGTGGGAGTATACCCAGAAGGAAGGAACGGAAAGCACGAGAGCAGACACGTTGACGGTGCATCTCCCTCAAGTTTGTGGGCAGACGAATTCCAGCTGATCCGACCGCGCGCGCGTGCGTTGATGCGTGTCTCCTATTAACTAGGATCGGCAGCGTTAAATGGCTAACAAATGAAAACACGTCAGCCTCAGCGCGGCTCTCGGTGTAAATGTGGTGTTTGCGGCTCCCCATGCGCCCATGCGTAGCAAACGCCAGGCCAACGGTTAGGCACTCACTGCCGTCTACGTGCAAAAATGGGAATCCGCGGTACAGTTTACACGATGTGAAGCGGAAGCACAGCCCGCGCACACTCACTCGCACGTGTCAACCATTGACGCCGTAGCCAGCCATCACATGGCAAACACGACCTAACACAAAGGCCCCACGAAGCAGGCACAACTTTTCCCGACAAGCGCAAGGACAAGATGCGTTCTGATGATGCATCTCCCCTGCCGGTGGATACTACACCGCAAATAATTCCATGATTTTGTGGTCGAGACGGCAAGCAGGCAGCAGCGCACCTTGGCCTCGAGCGAGGTGTTGCTCCAGTACTCGTCATGAAACTTGAAGCTCCCGGCCTTGATGCGGCGGAACAATCGCGTCTGGTTCTCGTCGTGGAAGGGCGGGTAGCCCCCGAGCAAGGTGTAGATGATCACGCCCACACTCCACATGTCCACCGACTTTTTTTTTTTTGTTTTGTTTCGGGGTAAAACCCAAGGCATGGATAGCACAGCAGGTGAGCAAGGAGGACAAGGAGCAAGCAAAATGGGCAGAGGTGGCAACAAAAACAGTGGTTTAGTTAGAGCCAAGTGGCATGTGTGAGAGAGGGGAGGACAGACAGAGGGAGTGAAATCCCATGTCGTCGTGAGAAAATAAACAAGCAATTTCCCGTGGCCATTACCCCACCCCTCCTAAAACGTCGGGGTGCGGGCAAGACGGGAGGAGGGGGGCACAAGGCGCATCACGGCGAAAATGGTGCGTTTCGTCTTAATGATATTTCAGCGAGAAAGCCTTGGGGCCCCACGTTCCGCCTGCACGCGTTCGCTGCGGTGCCGTCCGTGATCAACGCAGCGACGCTGACAACAACACCCCCTCCTTTGCTTTCACGTCTCCTGTGCAGGAAAGCCCGCCCCCGCCCTCGCCCCCGCCCCCGCCTTCGCCCCCGCCTCCTTACGACGGAGGGCAGTGCTCTCCCCCCCCCCCCTCCTCACCCCCCCCGGTGTTTGCCATCGGGGTTGGGTATTCGTCGCTTGGCAACGACGTTGTAAAACAAGTACCCCCATCGGTGTTTGCCATCGGGGTTGGGTTTTCGTCGCTTGGCACCGACGTTGTAAAACAAGTCCCCCCCCCCGGTGTTTGCCATCGGGGTTGGGTTTTCGTCGCTTGGCAACGACGTTGTAAAACAAGCCGCCCCCCCCGGTGTTTGCCATCGGGGTTGGGTTTTCGTCGCTTGGCAACGACGTTGTAAAACAAGCCGCCCCCCCCGGTGTTTGCCATCGGGATTGGGTTTTCGTCGCTTGGCAAAGACGTTGTAAAACAAGCCAATTCACTTCGTGAGCTCGGCAACCAGGTTACCGTTCTGTTTTTTACCTCTGTTTTTTTTCGGCGGCAACCATAATGGTGGTCGAGTAGATCATGTTGTCCGGCGTGGACAATCCTCACTCCGCGCAAGGGGCATGATCGCACCACGTCGTGTTCACATGGTCAAGCATCCTCGAGGTAGTTACACAGTGCTTGCAACTGTCTCTAGAATTGAAAGCACCAGAAAATAAATCAATTCATACGCAGCTGTCATCCGTACGCAAGGAAGTAAGCACAAGATGCCGAACACCCTTAGCAGGATGCAGCGCACCCTTCATGCGACTCGCCGAATATCTCACGGCGCTTCGCGCTTGGTGATGTGAGAGCCTGGTCCGGTGAGAACCCGGCGTGCTCCGTCCCGGCTTTGTAGGGATGCGAGGTCAATGGTCTAACGACTACGGCCTGCACGACTATGAGTACCCCTCCCCCCCCTCCCTCCTCCTCCTTTTGTCTCTGTGACAGCAGTGACACACCTCGTCACCTGAGCAGCTGTCACGCCCGTGCCCCCCCTCTCAAAAACACGCACAATGTGTTCCAATCCCCACCGGTCGCGTTTTCCGGGATGGCTCCGAGCAACAGCTAAGACAACCTCCGCCTCCCTCCCCCACCCCCCCGCCGCCAAAACACACGAGTCAGATGCGCGCTATAGAGCAAGGGTCCGAAGATCGGCGGTGTATTGCAAATTACGGAGTGGGAGCAGTGCAATGCTTCGCAGTAGTAAAGACTGAGACAGCCGAGGCTACGTAACACCGGCTGAGTACACCGCCCCCCCCCCAGCGAAGTAGGAACTATGCTCCGTCCTCTGGAGGACGCGTGGTCAATGGCCTGGCAACAACTGACGCATTCAAAACATTAGTGTTACCCCCTGTCCCCCCCCTGCAAAGAAATGAACTCTACCGCCAATAAAAAAACTCGCACCAAAAAGATATTTTCAAATGCTTTCTTACCGTCCCGTACGGCAGCGCCCTGAGGATCTCCGGCGCCACGTAACCCGGCGACCCGCACTGCTCCGACACGGGGCCGTTCAGCACGCTGCAGGCGAAGCCGAAGTCCGCGAGCTTGATGCCGGCGTCGTCGTGCTTGGAGGTGAGGAGGAGGTTCTCGGGCTTGAGGTCCCGGTGGACGATGCCCAGCTCGTGGCAGTACTTGACCGAGTCCAGAAGGACGCGGCACAGGTCTCTCGCCTCCTCCTCGTTGTAGTACGTCTGAGGCGGCGGGCGGCGGTGAGCAAGCAAGCAAGCAAGCAGGCAGGCACGCGCGTGCGTGCGCGTGTGCCTTTTGATAGTGGCATCGACCACGCCGTCTACGACCGGCCGACCGCCTGCGAAGGGATCAGTCTCAGCGCGGCTGAAAACTGAAAATGCGTCTATACATAAGAGGTGAAGACCACAATCTGGTGCGTGTGTCTTGACTCTGTAGCATCGACCGCGCTACAACCGGTCGACCGACCGATGAAAATACGTCAGCCTGGTACTGTAGCACCAACAAAGCTTTCGACATGATGGCCACGATCAACACCACACCGCACCGCACCACCGACAAGTAAGTGGCCGTCATTTCACGTGGGTGGTGTGCCCCCACCCCGCCCCTCCTCTGTACCCCACTTCTCTTCCTCTGGACCGCCTTCCCGAGGATACTAGTGTTTTGGGATACTAGAAAATAGAGAGGGGGGTTCCGTATTCCAAAAACCCTGACCCCCAACCCCACACCGTAAACCCTATTTTCTTAAACCAAGATTGAAGTACTTGCGAAGGGCACGACTGCTTCCTCATTCTCGCTCCGTCCCTCCTCCCACCCTTGCTAGCCTGTGAGAAACGATAGACGCATCTCGATGGTAATCCCGCTGTCATCCAACCGCGTCGTTTTCTCTCTCCGGGGTGTCTCCCACCTTCTGAACGATGCGGTCGAACAGCTCGCCCCCCGCCATATTCTCCAGCACCATGTAGTAGTAGTCGGGATCGTCCTTAAAGAACTGGTAAATGGTCACCACGTTCGAGTGCTGCAGGAGGCGGAGTATCCGTACCTTTTTTCGTCCACAGGCAGGCACCACCGGCATCACCCCAACGAAGGGACACGGCGGTGGCGGCGGCAGCGGCAGCGGCAGCGGCGGCAGCAGCAGCAACGACAGCAACAATTGAGATGGAAGATAGAAGGGGTAGGGGGGGCAGGAACACGCCAAGGCTGACAGCCACAGCTCGGCGTGTGTCAAGAGAAGGAAGTATTGGGGGACGGTAGTTTCAACAACGGACACGCGAACACGGGCGGGGTCCGATGGAAAGACACTCACAAAGGTTTCCCCTGTGTTCATTATGATTTGTGTTTCTTGACTGCTGATTTTAGGGAGGAAACACTACTGCTGTAAGCGTCCGTGTCGAGACGAGCCGTGTTTCGGCGAATGTCGCATGGATATTGCTGTTGCCGTATGTACCGCGCTTGCATGGCCCGCTTGAGCCCACACACTCAAACGCCGTACCCTCGCCCGGGTGCACCAGGCCAGTCCGCTGAAAACAAGTGGCCGGCCAGCCATTCGCCAAGTCGCGTAACGCGCGCTAGCCGATTCGCCCGTCGACCACCGCGCGTCGACGCCGCTGACGTGCCTAATATCATCTCGGGGCGACGTGCTGCCGTGAAGTAGCCCGTCTCTAGAACAAGTACAGACGGAGAATCGACCCCCTCCCCCCCCCTACCCCCCCTCTTGTGCAGGCTTGTTTGACCTTCGTCGACAAAGGTTCAGAGCATCTACGACTGAAATGTGTTTTCGTGACGGCAGCCCGCACCACAATTACCCGCAAAAAACGACGTTCACGGGGTTGGCCGGCCCTCATTCTGTCCAGGATGCGGGTGACAAAACAAGGGGGAGGCCAAAACCCTCGATCACGCAGGGGATAGGAGAGTCTCGCTCTCCCCGTTAGCCTATTACCAACTACCGCCATCCCTCGGGTTAGGACACCATGGTTAAGGACACTCCCCCGGTGAAGAACAACTATTTATTTCACAGGCATGGTGGCTCGAGGAAAGAGGGGTATCAACCCTGAGGACACTTCCCCGGCTTAAGGACAACTGTTATCAAATAAACAAAGACCCATGCGTGTCCGTAACAGAGGGACTTATACCGCGTTTGTCGGTTGCTATCGCAACGCGAACGAAAGGCCCGCCACAACGCCCCCTGCTGTTCCGTGCGCACGCATACCATACAGCACACACAAAAATTTCTTGTCAGCCGGTGAAGCGCGGTCGATGGTGACGACAAAAAAAAAACACGCGCAAACAACAAACATGAAAGCGGCGTGCAAGCATGCACACCTCTTCGAGCAACCCCTTTTCGTCCTCCTTCGCTAGTCCTCGCCGGACGGTCCGCTTGACCGCGTACGACTTCCCCCCAGGTCGGTCGCCCTTGACCGTCGCCTCGAATACCTCCGCGAAAGCCCCCTCTCCGAGCTTCTTACCCAGATTGAATGATCGCGAGAATCCTGTCGACAAAGAAAAGAGTGGTGGGTGGGGGCACCGGGGTGGGGGCACCGGGGTGGGGGCACGTGGGGGGGGGTGGGTGTACTCCTAGTCGTGCATGCCGTAGTCGTTAGACCATTGACCTCGCATCCCTACAAAGCCGGGACGGAGCACGCCGGGTTCTCACCGGACCAGGCTCTCACATCACCAAGCGCGAAGCGCCGTGAGGTATTCGGCGAGTCGCATGAAGGGTGCGCTGCATCCTGCCAAGGATGTTCGGCATCTTGTGCTTACTTCCTTGTGTACGGATGACAGCTGCGTATGACTTAATTTATTTTCTGGTGCTTTCACTCCAGAGACAGTTGTTAGCACTGTGCAACTGCCTCGAGGGTGCTTGACCATTGTAACACAACGTGGTGCGATCATCCCCCTTGCGCGGAGTGAGGGTTCTCGACCTCGCACAACATGATCTACTCGACCACCATTATGGTTACCGCAAAGGGGGGGGTAAAGATACGTATCCGACCCAAGAAGCGCTGCCTCTGATGGTTGTGCTATTTGTCCGTCTGTTTGGGGGGTATCCGAGCCAGCCGTAGAGCCTTGTTGCCAAACATGACATTATGGCCACGAATCTTACGTATCTACACAAGCAAGGGTCTAGCCAAGGCTGGGCCGCCTCTCTTTTGGGGCGTAACTGACTTTGGGAGGGCAGGTCACCGCTAGGAGACTAGTCTGTGACTGCCCCCAGGATGCCCCAAAGGCCAGGCAGGGTATCGATTGGTGCGCGCACAGCAGTAAAGCTGCAGCGAGCGCAGCAGGGATGAACGAGTGGGTTGGATCCAGGCTTATTTTTCCTCCCTAACACGGGTTTTCTGATTAAGGTGTAGACTGAGCCTTCGAGATCGCGTCTACCGAAGGGCAGCACATCTGAGACTCGGCCGCTTAAATGTAGTGTGCTTCGTTTGACGTCGTGCTTGGTTGCATACGAGACGCACGGAATAAAACAGAGAGACACGCGCTACATATGCATGACCCAACCCACTAGATGACATTGTGGCACAATCGTACGACGCATACATCATTTGCCTGCTGACGACGTTAACCGACAGAGCCAAGGAGGGCACGTGTTCCTGAATTGGAAAATGTTTGGTACTTGTTTTTTTCTTGCTTGGAGGGGAAGGCGTCGGTACACCAGAACTATATACTGCAACGCATGTGTGTTTAAAGTTGGTTCGCAACGCATGTGGGTTGAAAACGGTTCATTTAATATTGTCGCCGTTCGACGCCGGCTGGCAGGTCGGCAACAAAGGTATACCGAAAGAAAGGTAGGTGCGGACAAGAGCAGTCGCCAGCAAAGACGGACGAGGCAACACACACAAGCACATCAAGACTGACGTCTTTTCATTTGTCAGCCGGTTAGCGCGGTCGATGGTAACACAAAAAACACGCACACAGCAGCAGCTAGCTGTTGCTTGGGAGGAGGGGAGACCACGCAACAACATCACTCACTCTTGCTGTAGAACTCGCGGAAGGAGTGTTTCCCGTCTCCTACTGATAGAGTCGCCACGGCGTTGCCGCTGCCGGAGTTGCTCCCGGCCGAGCTGCCGAAGTTGCTCCCCGCGGCGCTGTCGTTTCGCTGTACCCCCCCCCCCCCCCCCCCCCCCCCCCCCCCCCCCCCCCCCCCCC